ACACACGCTGGCCAGAGGTGAGCATGCGGTTTGATTACCTCTACTTTCTTGCAATGACATTGGAACACGCTGCCTTAAGACATTTTGTCAGCACATGCCCTGCTGGGAGGTGTACATCATGGAAATCATCACCCCTAAAAATCGACCCCACCCCTTGCCCCCACCCCATAGTTGGTTCTTCAAACATTCACCGTCATGTTTCACGACCCTATGAAAATTGTGACATGATGACAGTGTGATACTGAACAAAGGGAAAAATACACCATCAAAGTTTAATCCTTGATTACAGAAATTAGTGACTCTTAAAGATCTCTCGAGGCTTTAAATACATACCTCTCGGCCCTTCTTTAGAATTACTGTCATTTATGAAAAGTCTGTTTCTCCTAACAAGTTTTTAACTCATAAATAAAAAAAACAACAGGAATGAGAATAGATTTTAAAATGATTTTCTTAGCTGCATGAGGTAAAACTGGTTATTCAAAAGAGGAAACATTTAGATTTAAAAACCAACCCAATATCAATTCTAATAAAATAGAATAATAAAAATTAGCATACCAGCTTCTTGGAACTATATGCTCTTAAAATAAATTCCAGAGATTAAACAAAATCAGGTAGTTTTTGTTAAAACAAATTAACATAAGTAAAAATATTTGAGTAATATTTTGAGATGGCACTGAATATATTTAAAAAGTTGAACTATGCCATTTATGATGATACTCTGATTTTTAAAAAAACCATGAATGCATAAGTGAAGTTTAAAAATTACCACTTTATTTCTCAAAAGTGTGTTTCTTAGAAAGACAAGGAACAAAGTTTGGTAAAGATGAATAAAACTCATGGCAATAACGTTTTGAATATTGAATTAACAAACTTTTTCCCACGTCTTCTAAAAGCTGTTAGAAGCTAATACCTGTTAGATTAATAGATTTACATATTTCATTTCCTTTCTGGATTACTGCCAGTATAAACAATAACTCAAAAGAGGTTTAATAGGAAGAATAAGAAAAATATAATACCACTTACATATTTTCTAATTCAAAGTGTTAATTACCACCAGCAGGACTGGTTTTTCAAGATGTTATTAATTTTATCTATAATTACATGCTTACTGATACATTTATAATTAAGGACTTATTCTATCCACTAAAAAGCAATTAATTTTACTGAACTTTCAGAATATTCAATAACTATAAGCCAGACTTTGCAGACAGCCTAAAGTTAACTTAATAGTTAATTGGCAATGATTCAGATATAACATGGCAGCAAAGCATCTAATTAATAGCATATCAATTATGTTTACCTTCCAAACCTTTATCGTGGTTATAATACAGTCATTAATAGTATACTTAAACCATGGAAGTTAAATTCTTTGTGTTTTGAAAAACTATATAGCATTAAATGTAAGCAATGACTTGAATTAATAATGCAGGAAAAGCTGATAAACATGATATACATCCATAGCAGAGATATCACAATTCGATAATTGCATTTATCATTGTAGAAAGAATGATAAAAAGGAGAAAATAGTGAAAAGCAATACATAGCTAATATTAATTGGATAGTACCTTCTGATAATATCTGGAGGAAGATCTTGGAAACAAATCTTAACTGAACAGTATAAGCAATTCACTCAATATTTCTAAGCTGCAATCTACTGAGAAAGATGAGGAGTATCTTTATGTAAATGTGATTTTTTTCTATTTCCTGGTTAACTAATTCTTTTTTCTAAGTAAACCTACTTCAAGGAGTTATTCTGATGAACAGGCATTAGAAACATCTACTACACTCCAATGTCTTTTTTACCTACTGCTCTACTCTTCAGGGAAAAAAAAGAAAAACTGAATGAGTATCAGCAGTATCATCCACAATACATAACACTGTGATGCAAAAAGTCTATAATGTTTCCTGAATCTATTAGGATTTCCCTACTGAGTGATCCACAAAATTTATTTCTAGAGTAGTGCAGTAAAATAGAAAAGTTTTCTTTCCCCCTAGGATCAGATCTGAGTTTTAGGTGAACTCCTCAAATTATGGAGTATGGTTTTCTGATAAACAATAAAAACAACTAAAACAACTCATCTTGAACATGTATCAATGGGCCTTTTCTACTCCAAAAATAATTATAGATTTGAAAAATACAAGAAGCAAAACATTCTCATGAGAAACCTGGTTTTAAAGTAAAAGATACCAAGATTTGATACAGATTAGATATAGGTTTTTTAAAAAAGCTTACAACTAACATGTTGTTTGGTATTTGTAAATACAAAACTCTAAATTAACCAAAAAAATACAATTATCATCAATTATCTTTACCCGTTAGCTAGAAGTATTTTGGAAACAAAGTGGCAAGTAATCCAATTTTTTGTATTAAAGAAACACTTCAAAACCTCAACGTTTCACTGATATAATTTTTTCTGTTAACTGAGCTTATGATAAAAAACAGTGTTAGGGAAATACTGTATCATTTGGAAAACAGCAAATCTAATATTTTATCATCCTAAAACAAATAATAAATAAATCACTGAAGGTTACGACTAGTAAGTGCAATCTTACTAATTACAAATAATATAACTTGTTACTCTTTCTGAAAATTTCTCCTTATTTTCAATATATCGACTTGAAAATCTACTCTGGAGAATTTACAAATGTTCTCAGAAAACATAAAAGAAACTTAAGTTACACGTTGGCTATTTATAATCTCTCTTCCAAACTCTAAAGGAATAATCTAAAATGAGACATTTAATGTTTCTCACTATTAATGAAAACACTGTGGACCTTTCCATAACCATTTATATTTGGGCATTAATGATAATATTAATAACAAATCTTTTTCGTGCTATGCCTAACTGAATAACACCACTTAAAAATAACGTATTCAAATTGTAAATGGAAACTTATAGTGGACTGGAAATAAAAACACAGCAAACCTTGAACAGTGAAACCTCACTTATAGGACATGTAAGAATCCTAAGAATTTTAAGTTTATAAAAGTATTACTTACTGCTTGTCTGAAAACACAGTATATAGCCCAACTATATGTCACTGTTGGATTCAAGGCCACTGTTAGGAATGGTAACCGTCTCTGTCCTATTGTAACACACTGCCGTCTCCCAGGACTATCAAGGCCCTCAACTATTGCCAGGGAGATGCTTCTCTGTACCTGCTGAATAGCTGTTGATTCTCCACTCCGCTCCCTCATAGACATCACCACTTTCCAGAGGCAGTTTTTTAATTTGTCAGATACATAACCAAGGAAAAACTGAAACAAGCCTGGAAAGCAGGTTATCAAGCCTATCACATCTGCACTTAAAAAAATCATATACACGTCAAGAGACTCTGGTTAAGTGCAGCTTATTCATATCCTATAGAATGAAGATATAGACTGAATAGTATTTCCCTCAAAAATTTTTCCTTATATCAAGATTCACAGAGGTGCTCTGGGAGGCCAAGGCCCCAAGAAGTCCACAAGGCAAGTGAGATATAATTAATCTCTATTTAACCAGAAAAATAAAATCTCTCTTAATTATAACCGTATTAAAAAAAAAAACTCGTTAAAAATTCACTCAATTCACAGGCTGACGATTTGAACCCTAATATAATTGCGCACACAACATTTTGGTCTTCCTTCCTAGAGGTTATAGGGTATACTTAACACATACTCAGTTTAATCTGATAAGTCCAAGCACCCAACAGTTTTGACTCTCTAAATGACAAAATAATAAATAAAAAAATCAGTTGAACCAGCAGTCTTTTCAAAAGTGTCATTAATCAATGAGATATTAAAGTCATAGTTCTACTGGCCATACCACTGGTATTTGACCTGCTTATTCATTATTAAACAGGAGTTTGGAAATATGTGCTATGTAAGGGTTCATCATGTTTATTTTGCCATCAATGCAGCACGACATCTGAAAGATAAGAGCACAGGAAGCAGTGAGGCACCCTACTGCTCCCCATGCTCCCTGTAAACCAGATTATTCCATGATCTAGCCCTTTCCAAGTCAGAATTCTGGATTTAAGGTGTGGATTAATCCAGTGATTACGAAGCTGACAGGTGAAAATTTATAAGCTTTTATCTACCACAGAAGTTCCTTTTTAATATTACTATTTTACATTGCATATGAAAACCAGAGCAGACGTCGGCTAGCCCACTGCTTCTCAACTAGGGGGTGTGTATGTTGTGTATCTTGATGTTGGGGTGGACGCTGGCTTAGGAAATTTGAGATCTTTCCACAAATACATGCCCCATTCTGAGCATATAAGAAAACTGCAGGATAGAGATAATGGCTGGCCCATTCAGTACTGAGAAACACTGAGCTAGCATCAGCATAGGATGTTGCTTATAGTTTGTTATCAATACATATATAAAGTGTCATGGTATTTTTAAATATCTTGGAAATACCTTAGAATATAAACTATTATTAATATTATTGCCTCAAATCTATAAACATATTTAGGGATATTCCTCTGAAATACATTAAATAATCAAAGATTTCTGCAAAACTGATTTACATAAAATTATAGTCAGTAAGATCTATAAGTTGTCCCAAATTCTTTTGAATTCTGCATAATATGAATCATCAAGGTTTTTTTCCACATAATTAAAATCTCTAGGAAATCTCTCATATTTGCTTATATCAGATTCTTATTTAGAAACTCATTTACTTTGTAGGCGATCAATTTGGAAAGCATATGTTAGGATCACTTTTTTCCCCTAGTAAAAATTAAAATAAAGATACCTTATAATTTTAGTAGTTTGGTTACTGAAATTTATACAAACATTCCTAAAGCTTTACGGCCAAAGCCAAAACAAGAAAAGAAAAAGCAAAAAGAAAATGCAGAAAGGCAGAGTAGCGACAGCAGGGCCAGCAGCACACAGCATGCAGCAGAGGTGAGAGTACATCGCGGAGACGTTAGCGTGTTCCGCAACCACAGGCAAGAAGGGGAAGAGACAGGGTGGAGGGCATGGGGTGGGGACACACAGTGCAGTAGTTTCTTACACGTCTGCCTTTGCTAGCTGGAGTACAGGACGGAGAGCGCTTCAACAAAGAAAGGAGAATACTGCACGTTACAAATATTCACACACAACTCTCGAAGGCTACCGCTGTATTAACAGACAAAGTATATCAACATACACATAAAGACACATTTTCTGATAGGTATTTTCAGGAAAAACTGGAGGATAGGACAGTAAAGAAATTGTTGCTCAGACTCGGTCTACGATGACTCACGAGACCCCACGCAAACAGTGACCCACGAAATAATGCTCCATCAAGTGATGGACAATCTCTTTTCTGCAGAGGTTGGTAGTAACAACTGGAAATGTGAGAACAAAAATGATCCAAATAATTCTGATTTAGTGCTGGGTAATAGTTAATAAAATACTTAATCAGTCTTTTACCTACCAAATTCTTACTATTTCCAAAGATGATGCTTTTAAATGATAAAAGCTAACTTAGGCCTTCAGAATTACTGATAATGAATGAAAACAAAAAGTTACTTCAACAATACTGTCCATCCTGACTAGACATTAGGCTTAAGTCAAGAAGAACCTTCACCTTTCAGACATTAAAGATTAAGTAATTAGGGAAAAGCAGCAATAACAATAAGTAGGTAATAACTGTACAGAAGTATCTCCCAAGTCTTTGGAACTTGGTGATGCGTGAACAGCAGAGTTTTATAAATATAAACTGTATATGCCTCTGGCAATTCCCTATATTCAACAGAACCTACCATCTACTGAGGGTTTGCAATAGGTCAGGTTTTTATTTTTTATTTTTTTCAATAGGTCAGGTTTTTAAAAGACACAGAAGATGTGCCATTCACAGACTAGTGGGGAAGACACCATGCCACCCACAGTGTGACAAATGCCGTGACAGAGGTTAGCTGCAGAGTTCTCCGGGAAGCTGGGGGGCGAGGTGTGTGAGGGACGTACAAGATTTGTAGGGGGACCTAGAGAGGGAATTTATAAACTGAACTACAGGAGCTACAGAGCTCAGAGGAAACTGGAAGGATAAGAAACATTCTTCCAGGTGATCAGTGTTAATTGTACAACTCTGGCACACTAGTAAACAGGAACTTTTATTTCTTTTTAGGCGACTTGGAAGGCAGATGACCTGAACACGGTGTCCCAGAGAGTTAATGGCAAACCAGGATTAGAAGTCCTGCAGGTTCCTAAGGAAGTTTTTGTGTCTTCGTCCAGTCATTTCTGTTGCTTTAGGCAGAACTCCCCCTCCCTAACCACGCGCTGCCCGCCTAGCACGCACTCGTCTTCCTCAGCATCTCTTACTCTGTGGATCATACCCGTCCCTCCGTGAGGACCGGCTCAGCCACCGGTTCTTTCAGAAAGCCTTTTGGCAGCCTTCTAGTTCGGTCAGGTAGCTCTCCTTTATACTCCCACGATAGACAGTCCATATCTTTTATTATTGTGCTGCTCCCAATTGTGTTATAATTATTTATTTACATGTGTGGTTTTTCCATCAGATTCAGATCCTTAAAGATCTGGAATACGCTTATCATAAAGCCTCTATAAAATTCTTAATAAATACTGAATGAATCCTTCTGACATTCTGCAATACTTACCTCATTCTTTCTTTTTTTTTTTTTATGGCATTTATCACTTTCTATACGGCACAGTATATAACTATGGATTTATTTTCTCTAACAGTAAAATAAGTGTTTTGAGGCCTACTTCTACGTCTGATTGATCTTAGCAGCTACCATTGTGCAAAGTAGAGTACTACATGTGTAGGAAGTGCTGAGATGTTTAATACAGAGAAACCTTTACTTTTTGGCTATCCCTATACTTCTAGACCAGAGTCAGGAATGTGCTGAAACCATGGAAAAAAAGCATGACTAGCTCAAACTAAATATATTGCCACTATGCTAAAAACAAGTCAACATATCTCTCAAAACCATCCCTGCATATGAAGGACAACACAGTGTACAGCTGGCACTGTACAAATGGAATTGGGGGAACACACATGGCACACACTTCCCCTTTACACACACTCTCATAACCATGGTTTTCTACTAACAGTAGAAACTGGTCTCACAGTACATGCTGGTCTCACAGTACACGCTGGGAAGCAGGATGTTGTCTTCATATACCATTTAAAACTGTGCATTTTATATCTGGTATAAAACTGCCGCCATAAATTTCAGGCTGATTATGGAAGTAAGCACATGGGCAGAAACCAAAAGAATTTATCTTACAGACACATAATTTGGCAAATAGATTTTAAGATTCAGTTAATGAGTTCCAAAGGTCTTTTAAAGTAAGATATTGAAGAGTAAAAGACTAGGTAGTCATGGTTCTTTCTCTCTAGATTGTCTAAACTATTAGGATATATGATATACAATAAAAAACATATCTTATATATAAAATAATACATAATGCTGCCTAACCTAGGGAAGGACTGCATATGACAATCTTCTGAAATGGGAGAGTTTCGAGTTGGGTTGTATTTAATATGTGGATGGAAGATTTTTTAAAAAAGAAAGAGGAAATATCAAGAATGCCACAATTTATTGGATTTAGGCCTGGTTTGGGTCACAGGATTGAAAGATCTTTATAATGTATGTTTTAAAATTCTGTCTTCCACTGATTCTCCCGAATGATCAATCTTCCCCAGGTACAGCTACCCAATGCTGCCAAACCTCAGATTTCTATGATGGGTTATGATAGATTATGAAAGAAGCCAAGGGAGAGACCAGCTAAAAGCAAGAGATGAGGGAAGGAAGCTAGGAGCCAGGACTGAAATTAAATATTTTAGGACATCTTAGCAAGATTTTACCATGAAATCAAACAAGGAGTGGAACTCGGCCTGCCAATACTCTCAGACTACTTGCTTCTTGTCATACGCCAGGATACAAGAAAACAGTATTAGGAAGACCAGACAGTTGGACTATTGGGATAACTCTATTCCTTGATGTCTGACCTTTTTATTCCACACCTTTAATTGTGGTTTACTTTTTCCTCAGTACACTAGAATAAGCCTCCAGAAAGCAAGCTGGCATACTCTCACTTGCCAGGTTCTCCCAGTTTTTGTGAATTTGGCCTGAATGAACAGAGTGTAGAATTGTAATTTAAATAAAACTCAAAACTTACCTGTCATAGATTTAATAAGTGACAATATGTTAATAAATGACAGTATGTTTACCAAATATAAAGAACAAGTAGTTCATTTATATGACTATAATTAGTATGACCTTTAGTACAGTCAAGCCAAGTATTTTGGGGGCTCAATTGAAAAGAAGAAAATGAACGGAACAGGATGGGAAGTTTGCAAGCTGGTCTGATCATCCCTGGACTTCTGGCCACTGGGATGCAGGGAACAGATCAGGGAGAGCCTGAGCTGCTGAGCTCCACCTGCCCCTCACCCTGTTTGGTGCTGGGCCTAACACAGAGCCACCCCCAGGCAGTCTAGGAAGCAACAGGGCGTGTGGGGCTGAGAGAAAAGACGAGGTCAAGAGGAAATGATTTCCACAGCAGAAGGACCCTGGTGTCCATTTCACTGCTGTCACTGGTGTCTCACCATGTGTGGGAATGCCTGACCCAAGAGACAAAGTGGTCAGAGTGACGTCAGTTTGCCATGAACTAAAACCCCCTCTTATCTGCCCTAAACAGTGTCATCCATAACCCTGTTGCCACCCCTTCGCTATTCCTCCAAAGACTGAGAATTCTAAAACTTTACTAATGGGGGAGAAAATGATCCAGTCTACTAATGGGAGAATGCTGTGATCAACAACGGTTACAACCACTGGACTGAGTATTTTTCTTTGGTGCTTTTCTCTGTCAGAAGCCTACGATTCTACATGGAGAAAAGCCCAACTACCCAGGTTGTCCTGAATTACAGAAGCAGGGTGCTGAGAATGCCTTCCACTTCGCCTGAGTCGGGGGCAAGGAAGGGACCTGGGTCGCTTACACTGCTCTCCTGTCAAGGCTGCTCTTGCTGGAAACTTGACTCACACAGAATTGTCTAAACTGTGCAACTTAAAAGGAAGGCCTATGGCTCCAAATGTGTTCCCATATTGCCAGAAATTCTGGCATTCACTTGAATTTTGAACAGGCAAAATACACTGAGAAAAAACTGGAGGTGGGAGAGCGATTCTGGGCACTATTTTATGTAAAAAGAATTATTGTGTTAATAGGCCCACATGGGAGGGTTAAGGAATAAAGTAAAGGGTCATTTTTGAGGAGGGGAGGTGCTAGTGATACGGTTCTAGAGAATCAGAGGGCAGTATGAGGTCACTAGGCCACAGGAAACAAATGGGGAAGATCCATGGTGTACAGACACCAAAGAACGTTTCATTTCTGCAATCTTGCTGAATCACTGGCTTTATCCCTTACTAAACCTACAAGTTCCTGCTGCGACTCAAATTCTAGGTCTTCAATGTCATCTATTTCTCTTCTATTTCTAGGAGATAAAATTAGAAAAGAATGATCAGAGGATGTGTTGTATGCATTAGTTAAGGGTTACAATCCGCTCACTATGGGGGGCAGTCACGCACAACACTCTTAACTAGTTTTGGCACAAAGAACAATCAAGATTGATTCTATTCCTTAAGCTTCCAAATGCCTAAGAGAAAGGAAGCAACAGAAGTTTGGTTCATACTAAGTATTCTGGACACCAAACACAAGCATGCCAAGGATTGAATACCATTTTTCAAAACATCACTCTACTCTGGCTTTGAGATGAACTGAATGGTAACTCTGGAAAGAGCGGTCATAGTTATCAACTACAGAGGTTTATGCCATAAAATATGAAGTAAGAATACAAACTATTTTTTTTAAACAGGAGCTTACTTCCTTCTCCCTGACATGCAAGCCTCACTGTGCAGTGGTCTTGGGGCTGGACAATTTGCGGGGGGAGTGCAGTGACTTGGATTGGTGGGGGGTGGGGGGGCAGAAGGCGAGCAGAAGGCCAAGGAAACATTTAAGTCACACTGGATTCCTGGACGAGAAAGGAAGCTAAAGGGAATGCAGGAAGGGAGGTGAATGGCCTATTACGAGTAAGGAAACAGTAACCAGTGTTACTGAGGGCTCTACACACTTTGTTTCTTTAAATTCTCAAACAACCTCTGAGGCAGTACCACTATTATTATCCTTGTTCTTCTGATGAGCAAACTGGGGCTTACCTAACAGAAAAGTTAGGGAACATGATCCCAATCATACACCCAGAAAGTGGTAGAGGCAGCAAATCTGAGCCCCCTTGTGCGCTTAACCAGTAAACTGGAAGAAGAGAACTCAGGAAGCAAACGAGGGAAAAACCAGGCATTTTAAGAGCTGGAGCCCAATTCATAAAGATTCAGCCTGTGTGAACTCAACTCCTTTTCCCTTTATGATAGGAGTTCCTTTGTGCTGGTTTGAAATTAAGTGTTATGTCTGAACTGCACTTAGGCTGAGTGCTAGTGGGTGACGGACAAGAAAGGTCCTCCTGGAGGAAAGTGAGAGTGGGAGGCTTCTTCACTACAGCTGGGTGGTGGCTGAGAGAGCAGTGACAAGGCGGGTGCGGGATGGCGCGCATTCCTGCAGCCCTTGGGCCGAGTAGAATGAACCTATCTATTAAAATACACACGACTTCTAGATTTTACATTCAGAGCTTTTTGTGGGAGGAAAGGGGATGTAGAGAAGAGTTTGTTAGGAAAAAAAAAAAATGGAAATGGTTTTCTAGTGGAAGGAACAGTTAAAATAATTTATTCTAACTTCCTTCCCAATCTCTCTCAAGTGAATGATGTTTCTATGGACATACTGTATTGAATATTTTAGTACAGTGAAACATACAGTAGATTATAATGTGAAATACTATTGTACTCAAGAGAACTCAAGAGAGTTCTCTTTTTATTGCCCTGTAGAATTAACTAGAACAACTGTCTCAAGAATAATGGAATAGTTTCCATTCAGAATGGACTTGGGTATAATATTTCAAAGACAAAAAAAAATAACTTGAAAAAATTTTTTAAAATCTAGATCAAGAGTTTTCTTTAGTGGACAATTATGCGAAATACTTTTCTGAATATAAGAATTATGTTTAACAAAACACAAAAAATAAGACCTACAAAAATTTCCCTGGTTGAAAAACCAGTGCTATGTAGAACATTTGCATTTGAATCCATTTTATTTTCCAGTTTCTAGAAAGGTTAAATGTTCGACATGATAAGGATTTTTGTGCCATTTAATGTGGAATAGAGAGAATGCATACATCTGGTATTTTAGTAAGGAGAATGAACAATATACATTAGGGACTTCTAAGTTATCAAATGGATAGATTTAATTTAGGAGAGAAAATGGTAGTGCAATCAATTTATAGTGCATGTAGCACATATGTTAACGAAAATCACTTTCCACATTACAGGTGAAATTCTGTCAGCATTAAAAACTGATTTGTACTCAATCATTATGTCACAGTAAAATCTATTGAAAGATTTAATAAAACATATCACTTTTTTCTGATTTTACCACCAGAAGTTTACTTCTGAGAAATAAAATAGCAAAGTGCCGAAAACGGGAATGTCAAATAGAAATCACAATGAAAAATAAAAATGAGCATTTTTATATATATATCTACATAGTGACAATAATCAAATAAACATTCCAGTCTTCAGAATTGTTGCAAAGAAAGGAAATACAGATGCTCTGATGGCCAAAGCATTTTTCAAAGTACATTTTCACTTTCTGATGTTTAATAAAGATAAACTCTTCATTATATTTCAGGTAAGAAAGAAGTTAATTTTGTCTCATAAATAAATTACCAGGTGTGATATTTCTAAAACTGACTGCATTACTGGGCAAAATTCTTCAATTCAATTCACTGATGTCTTTTACTGAAGGATGCATTGGTTTGAAAATCAAAGACTTACGTCATCCAAAAAATCAATCAGTGAAGATGAGGAAGAAGAAAAGGAATCCTATTTAACGAATACAGCAATAAGAAATAGAAAATATGGATGAAGCAATTTAATACGAACAAATAATAAATCAAAAATTTTGTAAAACAATTGAAAGGCAAATGACATTAATTCAAATAAATAAATGAGAAAAGCAGTCATTGGCATCATTTCTCAAGAAACTTAGAAATCTATTAATTTTTAAAGCGTGGTTCTTTTTCCCTTTCCCAAAGAAATGAAATACAATGCACACATAGTGCCCAAAATGTAATAAAATGAAGCGCACGGTAAATCATTAATAATCAAATTAAATGAAGCACTTTAGAAGGGTCACAATTAGAAGTGAGCAGTTCCCACTGGAATGTAACCTCTCTGAGAACAGGACTTGGTGAACTGGGTCACTACTCTATCTCCAGCACCTAGAACAGGGCTCCACACAGAGACTTGTGATTATTTGTTTAATAAAGATATAATCAAAAAAAAAATAATAAAGATATAATCACTAACTTAAATCTTCTGAGACAAAAATATACTTTATATCATAAATTTTTTTTTTTTTTCAGCAAAGAATTTAAGCACTAAAGAAGGACAGTCATAGAGTCACTATTTCCTTATTATGGAATATACTGCCTAATACTTTCTATGTAATACTTTTAACAAAAAGTATTCCTATTGTTAACTTCTAAAATAATTGAACGGATTTGAAGCTAGACCCAGCATTGCCCTATTGTGAGTTTTGACCTTTTTCACTTTTTTTTTTTTTAATTGCGGCTCTGTGCTTGGGAGAAAAAAGGAAAGTGTCAAAATTCTTTCAAAAGTTTGGATTTGTTCTGCATTTACTGTTTCTCAGGGGAAGAGACAAAATTTCTTTTAAATCTTATGACTCTCACATTTTGACCTTTCTTAGATTTTTCTTAAATACAAATGTGATTACAGTTTCCATAAGAATGCAGAACATGGGGTGCCTGGGTGGCTCAGTCGTAAGTGTCTGCCTTCGGCTCAGGTCATGATTGATCCCAGGGTTCTGGGATGAAGCCAAGCCCGTATCGGGCTCCCTGCTCTGCAGGGAGCCTGCTTCTCCTTCTCCCACTCCCCCTGCTTGTGTTTCCTCTCTAGCTGTGTTTCTCTCTGTCAAATGAATAAATAAAATCTTTAAAAAATGCAGAACATACTCTTCTCTTAACATGTTTTTGTTTATATAAGATTCTAGGTCCTCTTACGTGGGAGGCAATAAAACAGTTTCGTTGCAAATGAATTTTAAGTCACAAAGTGAATTTTAAATGGACTGCAGGGAATACTTGAAAAGTTTAATACTTACTTCAAATTGATCCAGAGCATCGGTAGGCGTATTCAAAAATGCCAAGAAAGAATGCTGTGAGTCTTGGTGCTCTATACCTAGAAGACAGCAGCAACTTTTTTTAAAACTAGAACAATTTAAACTAATTTTCATGGATAACCATTCCTGTCTGAATCTATTAAGAGCTGTTCACAAACTACCATATTTTAAAGCTGATCAATACTATTAACTCTACATATTTAAAAAAACTATATTAGTGTTTCTTGGAATATCACTTAACAGTTAAATCAGTCTCCATGACATACTTGTTTCCTGACTTGAGGACTTGAATTTCTTTCTTTTCCCACATAGCACATCAGAAGAAACACATTACATCTTGGTAGACTTGGGAGAATTTTAAAAACATGGTTATATCTGATTTTTCTAAGCTAATTTATCACCAAACAAGGTTTCTGTTTTGAAAAACTTTTAGCAAACATATAGTAAGCATTAATATAAATAATCTCTTATGATAATGTCGTGATAAAACAAATGTAGTTATGAAAAAACTTTTGTCAAGGCCTCAATCTGATTTCAGGTATTGTTTTATTGACAGAAAAAATCACTCATACCCTAGTTTTTCTCAGATGAAGTTATAAAAGCTGGTGCATATTTGTTAGCTATGGCATTAACTTCAAATGCATAATTTCCAAAATAATTCTTAAAATTTATATACAATGATAAATACAACCAAGCACACATTTTCGACTTCCACATCCTTAGGAAGTGACATTAACTCATTTGTGTGGCTTTCCTACTACTCTCTAATAACTAACACCATGGATGCCAGATGAGGCACTATGTTCAGAAATTCATCCAGTCAATAAATATTTATTGAGAGCCTTGTGCCAAACCTTGTCTAGATACCAGGTCATATTAGTAAATGAGCAGAAAAAAAATCCTTGCCCTCACTATATTATATAAATACTACATTATATTATTTAAGTAGTATAAGTATAGTACATTATGTTACAACACAAAGTGAAATTTTATTATCTACAATGTTCTAAATCCAAATAAAAGCTATAGGTTAACACGCTTTCATAAAGCAATGTGATAAACTTAAGTTATTTCTTCTGCAAGTTTAGATCTATTCTAAAAGTGATGCAGTCAGTGACATGAGGCATGTTATAGTCAGTCACACTCTGCACTGGTCTCTCTTCTATTAAACTGCCTTTAGGACTACAGATCCTCCAGGTCCTATATATTCTTTTTCCTCTACTCACTGAATAATGCAGCTCCCTTCCACTCTTCATGTTTGAAAACTGCTTAATTCTCAATTTAGTGTGAAGCCTTGTGCTCAGTGTGATTCCTAATTCACTTTTGCTGTTCCTTCCTTTCCTGTTCACTAGGAAATCGAACCGACAAAAATTTTTTGAATATCTACTACTTTTAGTGGTTTTTCATGTCAACTCCTTTATGTGATACCTTCTCTTTCCTCCACAATTTTATTTTTTTCTCCACAATTTTAAAAGCAGATACAGAGACCCAACCAGCTTGACATCACTGTGTGTCACAGGACTGAGGAATTACAGGGAAGCATCACATAATGTATGCATAACATAAAGCCATTAATTAGTTCACTATTCAGTCAGGAATACTGACTTTGTCAGGACAATGAATTTATCTACTTATTTATTTTTTAAAGTAGCTTCCACATCCAGCGTGGAGCCCAAGGCAGGGCTTGAACTCATGACCGTGAGATCAAGAGTCAGATGCTCAACTGACTGAGCCACCAAGGTGCCCCAGGACAAAGAATTTCTAGTAACTGCATATAAGAGATCCCTTCATTGAGAAAAAAAACATTCTGAATTTGTTTTTATTAAATCTTCACATTCTTAATGACCACATTATGGAAACAAAGTTTAAGTAAAGTTCCTGTAATAGCTGCCATGCACTCTGAGTTACTTTTCACATTAATGGAAACATGCTCAGGTAATGCTTTCAAGAAAATGGGAATAAATCCTGAGAAATACCTCAGGGTAAGCAGTTTAAGAATCAAACGTGGAAGAAAACAATGAAATGCCAGAACAGTTCATCACTGAATTGCTTTCTAATATGGGATTAGATTAATCTTTAGTTACTTCATACATTGTTTCCTCAACTACCCTGGAAGTGAATCCTACGACACTTGAAAAGAGTATAAAGTACACTATAAAAAGTATTTTCCCCCCCAGTCACAAAAACCTTATTTGTGAAATCATCCACGGCACTGAAAAAACAGTCCAATTTATGGCAAAATGAGTTTTTCTGTTACCATGAAATCTTTAAACCATGTATATTAAGTACAACAAAATGACTGAAACCAGTCTAGTGAGTGTGTGTGTCAAATATGCATATATATATCCATCAGTGAGCGTCAGCGTGCTTCGTGTGAACAATTCTCTGACCTACATGTACGCGGATTCTTGGGTAATAAAATACATTCACAACAGAATAAGCCCTGATTGATGCAAAACACATTCTCATACCCTTTTCAGATCTAAGCTCTTCAGTGTCCTTTATCAGTTGTTCGATTTCTGAGAGTAGCTCCAAGTTCTTCTTCTCTGAATCTTTTAGTTTACTTCAATAAGGGAAAAAAAAATGAAAAATGTAATTATTTTTACTGCTGGTTAGTGAGCCATCCTACAGTACGTAGTTGGAGCTTCCTGGTTTGTCAGTCACATCAGGTCAGGGAAGTGCAAAGCCACTGCAGGAAAGACAAATCCCGCCGGTCATCTACTGTTATATAAATAAAATTTCACTGCAACACAGCCAGACTCATTCATTCACAGACTGTCTCTGGCTGCTTTCACACAATAGCACAGTTGAGTAGCCAGAGGTGATATGGCCCACAAAGCCGAAAATATTTAGTATCTGGCCTTGTATAGAAAAAGATGCTGACCTGGAGCTAAATGATTAGATTTTAAAATGTCATAAAAATCAAAGGTTAAATTTAGGATTTTGTTAGACTCTTCCACAGAGAACCATGAAAGTGGAGCATTGTTATGAGTACATCTGTAGTTTCCAATTTCATTCAGTCTGGTTTATAAGCGAATGTGCAAATGCCTGTGTCCCAGGCACGGGAAGGTAGCTCATGCTCGTTCTACTTACAACACAGAGAACGACATTCAGTAGCTCTTTGTGTTAGGATCAACTCACATTCTCCAGAAAACGTTCTCTCAAAATTTCAATGTCATGCTATCACATTTAAGCAAAGCATACTTAATTTATGTCTGGATTATTTATAACAAGAGTTTATATTTCAGTGGGGTGCCAGGCAACCGCCCTCTAATTGGATTCAAAACATTAATGACTACAGTTTAAGGACTAAGGCTTCACACCATTACAAACTGAAATTTATGGGACTATATTTCTTTTCATGATTGAATGCCTCTGGAACTCCACTATTCCAGCACCAAATGAATTTTTCTATTTATATGTTGATTTGTAACACTAACTTTCTATTGTTCCTCTCTATCACCAATACTGACTTATTCTTGAACCATGGTTATATCCAATCCAATTAAGATTTTTATTTTATCACTTATTTATTCTACTGTTGTGATAAGGATTGAAGGAATGTATTTATCCAGTAACTGTCTCAGACTGTGGAGGATATACTTGTTTTAAAACATAAAAGAACATGAAGAAACAATTATAGAGAACCTTCATTGTAAAAGATCTATGGTAGAGGCCAGAATTCCCAGATGACTGTATTTTGTTCTGAATATATGTTGCATTTTTATACTAATATGATACTCTTGAACAGGAGAGAATTTTGGATTTAATGGAACAGAATTTGAGAGTCAACTAAATTTTACAAAGTAAGGGGGAAAATAAAATATTAATTAGCACTATTAATTCTACTTTATGGACAAGTCAGAGGACTAGTCTTTCAGCTAGTCTGTTTTCTAAATACAAACAAGGTTGTATTAAAATCCCATCACTGCATACAAGGCTTGAAAGCATTTATTCATTTTCAAATATTCATAAAATTTTCTGGTCATTACTTAAAAGAAAAAAGTGATAGGTATGAACTTCTCCCCAAACACTTTTGGACCAACTTAGAAATTATTCTAGTAGACTCAACTCGACCAAGTATATTCAACCTTACCATTCTGTGATGATGTTAGCTGCTTTAACTTTATTCAGCTCTTCTTGGATGGCCTGCTTAGCTCTTATTTCTGCATCCAGGGCTGACTGCAACTCCAGCCTAGCTGACATATCCAGTTTTGCAAAACGACGCATTTTCCAGGGCATATCCTACCAAATAATATGACTGTTGTTAGCCCCATCCTATTTTTTCCTTAACATTTAAATTCAGTAATGCAAGTAAATTTAGAAACTACATAAAGCACTATCTTTCTCTGATAACAGAATAGAACTGAAACACTGTTTGTGAAAGTATATTATTTTCCATTAAATTCAGAAATAATTGTAGACCCACATATAAGGAGTTTATTTTCCATACTTATTACCAATAACGGATACCTATACAAAATTACAGTTAAGCAGTGATGTGTTATGATTTCCTAAACTGGCAAAGACTTGGACTAAGTGAATTCTCAAGAAAAACTTTACAGTGAGCTAAAGCCTAGACAAACTGATAGAAGTGCTCAGATTTAATATAGTGTTTGAGCCTCCCCTCCCACCCTGTATGATAATTCTCCATGCAAAACGGCAGAGCTTACTGTTGCTCGTGCACCCAAGCTGGAATTTCTCAAAGCTTCCAACTCTTCTGTCATTTTAGAAGCTAAGGCCTGGAGATACCCTCGTGCATCCTTTTCATCACTGACCCTGGAATACATACACATACAGACAAAGGACAAAAGTAACACAAACAGAAAAACTTCAGTGAGAGATATATTGTTTTAAAAGCCTCATACAAGAAATAAGTGAAATAAATGTCTTCTTTCAAAAGATCTACCACAGTACTACTGCCTGACAATAAGTGGGAAGAGGTTTACTGAACTGTTTCAGTTATCTATCTATCTGGTCATGTTTAGGAAAGTTCAAATTACTTGTATCTGATAAATTAGTAAAATTTCACCCTTGAACCACAGAGTATTCTTTTAATCTAACATTAAAAACACACATATTTACATGATTTCTAAAGAATATTAAGATTTCTAATTGGGTTCTGCCATTTTATCTTATGAAAACAAAATGCATCAGTTTTAAAACTGAAGTACCCTATATTTAGAAAGTTTAAAGTAAAATAGTCTGCAAAAATCAGGGTTGTACTGCAATACAGCTCCTCTGTTTTCTAAAATGGTCAATAAAATACCAATCAAAAGGAAAAGATTAAAGTCTACTGAAGCTCATATCTGTCTTAAGACTATCTTGCTGATGTAACTATTACGATTCTATAAAAATGTTTTCAAATTATATTCAATGACACACATTCTAATTTTCAGAATTTGTCTAAGAGAAAGTTTGTGTTTTGTTACATCTTCAAAACAAGGGCAAGGCTAGGATAAGGACTGCCAGCATATGAAAATCTACAAAAGAAGGTCCTATCCTCAAGAAGAATGAAAACAATTAGTATACAGAAAGTGCATACTATTCAGGGCACTGAATAGTAATGAGAGAAACTTATTTCAAGTAAATCAATAAGTATCTGATGCATATAGCAAATTGAAATCTTGAACTTGGGTTTAGCATCTTTTAGAATTTAAACTCCTGAGGAGCCAAATTCATATATTTCTATCTATATATCTTAAAGAGGCTCTTTAAAAGGGATTTGGTTCTCTTTTCTCTCAGATGGGAAGGTGTACTGGAGGACAAGCAAAAGAATCTAACAATAAAAGCGATCCAATCATTATAAAAAGTTGCCCAGCCTAGTTCGTTACATATTTTTAGGCTCTATATACATATATATTTTTTTATTGCCTTTTAAGGGAAAATGGCTTTAGAAAATACTGTTTGTGTAGTGGGAAGTGGTTTCCTTTAAAATTCTTTAACTTTGGACACCACACGTGACCACGACCTTTTGATTTAATCATCTGATCTACAGCATAAAGAGTAAGTGAAGATGAAGGAAGATTACCTTTTTTTTTAGAGTACCAAGAAAGACACTTAAGAAAACTGTATTATCATTTAAAGGGCCAGGCTAATCAGCCTCAACTAGCATTGCTTTAGTGCCTATCTACCACAATGATCTCGGCTTATGCACATTCCAACCTGCTTCCATAACTCCGGAAAGCAGTAAATTCTTGTACATGACTTTCATGCTGTTTAATGTTTCAAATAAAAACCAATCTCTACCTCTGAAACAAATAATACATTATATGTCAAAAAAAGGAAGAAGAAGAAGAAAGAAGAAGAAGAAAAAAAGAAGAAGAAAAGGAAGAAAGGAAGAAGGAAGAAGAAGGAAGAAGAAGAAGAAGGAGAAGGAGAAGGAAAAGATGATAGCAGGAAGGGAAGAATGAAGAGTGGGAAATCGGAGGGGGAGACCAACCATGAGAGACTATGGACTCTGAGAAAGAAACTGAGGGTTCTAGAGGGGAGGGGGGCGGGAGATGGGTTAGCCTGGTGATGGGTATTAAAGAGGGCACATAATGCATGGAGCACTGGGTGTTATACGCAATGAATCATGAAACACTACATAAAAAACTAATGATGTAATGTATGGTGATTAACATAATAAAAAATAAATAAAATGGGAAAAAAAAAGAAAAAAAATCTCTTGTCATTTTTGTTTTATTTGCATGTTGAATACGTTCACATTCCCTGACCCATGTGGTCTCCCGCTAAGTCTCAATTTTTTATTAAAGCTCAGTCTATTTTCTTGGCTACAGAGAATTAATGAAGGGAAGGGTTTAAAAAAAAAAAAAAAGACTGGGTCAGTTACAACTCCTGCCATTTAAATTCCACTGGGCCCTGGTCTACAACAATTCCTTTTTAGAATCATTGCTATTTGTTTCCAACCTTGATCCTTGAAGTCTCACTTCCCTCAGACCAACACTGTCTTGCCCTTTTCTTTAGGCCATCTGGATAAGTTGACTCATGCCCATTTTAACTTTTTTTTTTTTTTTAAGTTTTAGAGGCAAGTAAGTCCCTCATCTTTCCTTTGGCCAAGTCATTTAAATGTATTCCTCATCCCACATATATACAAATATTACCTTCTTTGAAAACAGCTTTCAATTTCATCACTTCCACTGGCTGCTGTAAACATATACAGACGTTTTCTAATCCAGAAAGGTTCCTGTCCCAATCCCTCTCCCTGTCACTGTGATACAACCTGTATCTAATTACTCTAGTATTTAACCCCTCACTAACTCATACATACTTTCTGAGGTCTGATTTCTACCTCAACTATTTTGCTGAAACCACAGTTCATTCAAGTGACAAGTCAACCATAAAAGGCCAATTTCAATCTCTTTTGTTTTTCTGCCATAGCTAAATCCTCTACTCCCAAGCTCTTTCAAGTAATTAATGCAGAAATACTTATTAATACTGACTATTATGTAGGGCATAATAGTCAGAGAAGATCTAGAAGATAGTCCTTAAAACGTCAGGGAGGTAGGACATACACAGTAGAGTGATTAAGAACTTGATTCTTGAGTCAAACAGATCTTGGTTCAAATCCTAACTCGCTGCTCACCAGCTCCGGGACTTGGGCTAAGTCATTTACCCACTTCTAGCTCTCTGCTATCTCACCTACAAAGTGGGGATATAATCCTACCTCATAGGACTGTTGTAATAACTAAATGAGAATCCTGTACAAGTGAATTTTCAGCCCAACGCCTGGAACATACTATGTTGTAATCAGTATAAGCTACAACTATCCACAAATGAAGATTAATGAATGAGGAATAGTTCAAATAATGTGAGGAAATTTAAATAAAAGGAAATAAAAGTGTTATTATTGAGACCCTTTGCTGATTATGAAAGCACTTTCCTGGCTGCCCTCTACCTTCTATATGCTGCCCTCACCATATTATCCTTCTTTCTTTCCTCCTTAAAAAGATCTCAACAACTTCAATGGCTTTATTGACCAGGAATTAAATCCCCAAATTTATATGCTTTACCCTAACCTTTCTGTAATCTTTTCAAAAGCGTATTGGAACTCTGTACCCAGATGTCTCAGGAGCCCAGACTCACCAACAAGCAAAATAACACAAACAAAATTGATTATATATTCCCCAAAGTTGGTTCCTTCTCTGACTTTCCTACTTCAATGATATCATCATTTTCTTAATCTAACTCTGAATTTCAGAAAAACGAATTCTTCCTCATTTCCTGACCTTCCTTCATAATTAAGTCCTATAGATTCTTCTCGCACAATGTCTTCTCCATTTGTTCACTTTTTCCCAAACTTCCCTCCACTTCACCCTGAACACCACTGTAGAGAGTTGTCTTCCTAATGCATCATGCAATCAATGCCATTATCCTTTGCAAAAACCCTCTCCTTCTTATAAATAAATAAAGTTTAAACTCTTACCCAATATTCATGGTAACTATACAGTAGTAACTTTACTAGTCTTATTTCCTACTATTGTTTTATACGAAATCTCCAATTCAGCCAACCTATGTATAGGACCCTTTATTAACCTCAGAGTTTTCAGAAAATGCATTATGGGTTCAAATGATTACCCCCAACTTTCTCAAGCACCCAGTCTGAGGTAACTCTCCTCTACACTCCCATAGGAAAATCGGTATTGTGTAATACATAGGGCAACTTACATTTAAGTCTTATAGCTAATCTCCAGATCTGGTCACATTAGTTTTTAAACTTTTCAATGATACATTAAAAGCAGCTTGACAGCAAAGTACTATAGTTTATAGGCCATCCTACCTTGTATTATACCAGAAAAGTGCATTAGATGTGAGGAGAAGCATTTTATTTATTTATTTATTTATTGGGTGTGTGTGTTTATTTATTTATTTATTATGTTCTGTTAGTCACCATACAGGACATCATTAGTTTCTGATGTAATGTTCCATGATTCATTGTTTGCGATTTTAAAAATCACTCTTATGGACTAGCTTATGATTCTGACCTTTCATTGTCGTATCATTTCAAAGAAAAAGTGAAGTATTCTGATGAGTCAATGGTGAGAAGAAAGGCGTCTGCTCTAACACACTGAGGAGCAACAAGGTCTCCCTTCCCTAAAAGGTATTCTTTCATATGAAAGGGATATTTCATAGGAAAAGGCAGAGGGAGCCAAGTAAGATGACCATTGGCTATGCATCCAAGTAAGATCTTATTTACAATAGTGCTTGTTCTGTTTTAAAACTGTTACTTTGTCCAAAGGAAACATTTAAAATACTATATATCACAAGTTCCTAAAACCTTGTCTTGGCATCATTTCATTTTTTAAAGTTTTAACTTAAATTCTAGTTTGTAAACATACAGAGTAATACTAGTTTTGGGTATACAACATAGTGATTCAACAATTCCATATGACAACCAGTGGTCATCCTGGTAAGTGCATTCCATAATCCCCATCACCTATTTCACCCAGCCCCCCACCCACCTCCCCTCTGGTAACCATCAGTTTGTTCTCTATAGGTAAGAGTCTGTTTCTTGGTTTGCCTCTCTTTTTTTCCTTTTGCTTGTTTTGTTTCTTAAATTCCACACATGAGTGAAATCATAGGGTATTGGTCTTTCTCTTACTGACTTATTTCACTTAGCATAATACACTCTAGCTCCATCCATATTGTCGCAAATGGCAATATTTCATTCTATTTTATGGCTGGGTAATATTCCATTGCATATACATATATACCACATTTTCTTTACCCATTCATCAATCAACAGACACTTGGGCTGTTTCCAAAATTGGCTACTG